TCTCAAAAAGACAATAATAAATAAATAAATAAATAAATAAATAAATAATAAATAAATAAATAAATAAATAAATAAATAAATAAATAAAATGCAAGTAGAACGTGATGTCAGGCTGTGTCAGGCTTGTGCTTAATAGGAGTGGACCACACACATTTCTAGAACAGATTTCAGAGTCAGACTAATACTCCAAAAGGTCTTCTACAGATATTTTGTGTGTGTGTGTGTGCTTATGGTATTTTGAGACAGGGTCTCCGTGTAGCCCCAGCTGTCCTGGAACTCGATATGTAGACCAGGCTTGTCTGGTCTCACTGTGTGAGATCTCTCACACAATGCTGGGATTAAAGATGTTCCACCATAGCTGGCTTTTCTACAAAACACAGGTTAGTTGGATTTTGTGCTGACTGTGACCATTTGGTTGCAGCACAAGTTAAACAATGCCTTCAGAAATAGGACAGCATTTTCCCAGCACTTAGGAGGCAGAGACAGGTGGATCTCTGTGAGTTCAAGGCCAGCTTGGTCTAAATAGGGAGTTCCAGGACCCCCGGGACCTCAGGGAGACCCTTTTTCAAAAAAAAAAAAAAAAAAAAAAAAGAAATAGGACAGCATTTGATGGTGATGAGTCATCTTTTTTTTTTTAATTTTTTTTATTTTTTGAGTCATCTTTTAAAAAGTCATCTGTTGTTTCAAGAAATTAGTCAGCCTATAAAATACAGCTTGATGTCAGGCATCTCTTTTGTGTATTTCAGGGTAAAATGATGGCATGCAAACACTGCAGTGACATTTTTAGCAAGGAAGGAGCTTTGAAGCCAGCAGCCATAAGCAGAGAGGACCAGGGCATTGAAGCAGATGATGAGAAGGACTCACTCAAGAAGCAGCTGAGGGAGATGGAGCTGGAACTGGCGCAAACCAAACTGCAGCTAGTGGAAGCCAAGTGCAAAATTCAGGTTGGTAATTTGATAAAAGGAAAAACAAAACTAAAAACAAACAACTTCTTTTCACCCAATTTTTTTTTTTTTTTTTTTTTTTTTTTTTTTAAAAAAAAAAAAAAAAAAAAAAAAAAAAAGAGGACGATAAATCTTTCACTGTGATATATCAAAATAACAAGCCTCTTTTTTTTCAGTCATTTTGAGACAGGGTCTCCCTGGCCTCTCACTGTGTAGACCAGGCTGGCCTTGAGCTCACAGAGAGCTGCCTGCCTCTGCCCCCAAGTGCTGGGATTAAAGGAGAGAGCCACGGTGCCTGGCCTAGCCCAAGAAATTTTACATAATCCTGGGTAAATAGAATAGATATACAAATCAAACATTTACTGATAATAAATCACAAATTTATTTTAAAGCAATTCTGATATACATGTGGTTTTACCATTTATTGAGGATAAAAGTAAACTTGAATACTAATAATATGGGTACAGTTATTTTTATAGAAATATTTCGCACTGTGGAATAGAGAGTGTCTTAATGTTTTTCAGAGTTGGGTGATACTTTACCTGTCAATTCTGAGAATACCACTTCACAGAAGTACATAGACCCAAGATGCTAGAAGTATATTTAGGGTTATTTCAGAAATTGTTGTAAATTATGTTCTAATCACATGACAAAATTCATTTAATGATCTTTTAAAAATGAAACTTGTCAGTAACTCAAGCAGCAGTTCTCTAAATTAGTCTAACACAATAGAATCCAAAGACACACTACTTTGATATTTACACACTTAGGAATGATGCTAGGAAAATATTAAACATCTTTGTTTTCCATAACTAAATCATTATGTTTCTCTAAGAACAAAACACTTTGTGTGTACAATGAAAAAAATACTGTAATATATAACACTACAGTGGTCTAGAATCTGAGCCAAAATGTCTGAGGCACTGTTTGTTGGTACTGCCTGGTACTGACAGCCTGACAGAGCAGTGCACAAGGGATGTGTTCAGAACCAAGCCATAGTAAAGTCATGTGGTGGATCATGGGCAGGTGCTACTAGAAGTACCTCAGATTCACTGTGCATTTGATTTTGAATTTTTTTAATGTTGCCAATTTTTTTTGTGACCTCCACATACATTCATTTATATGACCCCACATGGGATCACAACCACAGTTTAAGAGGCTGGGTTTTAGAATATACTGCCCTTGGAATATACTGCCATAGGAAGTAATATATGTGTTATATACAGTGTTTTATCCCTAATGTGTCCTGCATCGTCACATTTTCTATCAGGTACTCATAAACACAAACGTAGAATTTTGAATGAACTTTTTATAATTAAAGTTATATTTTGAGAGAACTTAACAATATGTTCTTTTAGTTTACCCTGAGATGTTTTTCTCAGGTTCTTCCCGTTGATCATTTTGGTAGCTGAACTGAAAATGAAAGGCCAGACCCCTCTGCTGTCCCTGCCTTCATAGCTGGCTAATACCCATTCTTTCCTTTGGAACGTCCTTTGACTTCAGCTGATTCTGCCAAATACCTTTCCCTTTTCTCTCCATACTGGAGAATAACAATTAGAACAGTGGGCCTTGCTTCTAGTGGACTGGTGGCTGTTTTCTTTTTCACAGTGAGCCCCCACCCTCTACCACTGTGGCACTAACCCATGCTGCATTAAGGATCTGCAGCAGTGTGTGTTCTCTGGACCCTGAATGTTCTCCAGGGCAGCTTTGAACTGGAACGTGTTCATGCTCATTTATTTGTGGTTTTAAACATATAGTCTCTCATTACAACCTAAACCTAAATTTGGACCTGAATGGCAGAGAGGTGAGGAGAATAAAATGTGGTTCCTTTCACTGTTCTGAGGAAGCACAGATTCTAATTTTCATTGCTGTTTAGCTCTAAACTTTTCTCTTCCATTAAGAGACTTAATGTCTCCTGAGCACTGAGGGAGGAAAACTGGCTGCAGAGATCTGGTGGTTCTAAAAAGCATGTTCTTAATTTCTTTTTTCTTTAATTAGGAACTTGAACATCAGAGAGGAGCTCTTATGAATGAAATCCAAGCTGCAAAAAACTCTTGGTTCAGCAAAACCCTGAACTCTATCAAAACGGCCGCAGGTACCCAGCCACTACAGCCACCACAGGCCACCCAGCCACCCAAGGAGAGCACATAGTTCCAGCCTCACCCAAGCACAAGAGCACAATGATCAAAGCAATGGAAACCTGAGAATTCCTCCTGGTGTCCCTTTGAAGGAATGTAAAGGAGGCCAGAAAGCGAGTTAGAATCTTTCAGTAGCTCTCAGCCTTTCTTGTATGACACTGTTCAAAGGGATGTTATTTAAATGACATGATTTATGTTGAATACCAATTTTTCAGCTTCTTCATGGAAGGCCATGTTCAGATCCATCATAATATCACACCTTATTTTATATGCTTGGTGTTTAGTTTGAAATAAGTAATCTAGAACTAAGTACTTTTTGTTTAGAATTAATTATTCATAATTAATTTTCTCTTACATAAAAATAGAGGCTTATGTTATTCCAATGTCAAAGTGATAAGATCTTTGTCATAGAATTTCTTTTTCAAAGGAACCTAAGCCCCTTTAACTTTCCAGGAGTTATTCAAATAAAGCACACTGTGGAGCTGCTCATGACCACCATCAGGCTTCACCCTAAAAGTGATTCCTAGAGTAGTGATACTCCTGTCCCAAGGAAAGAACAGATCAGGGATTGAGTTGAAAGGTCCCAAAGATAATTGTTTTTTGTTGGGTACATCTGGAAACGAAGTGCCAAAAGCTGCAGAATAGATGGGCTACTGAGACCACACACTAGGTAAATAAACTAAGATTTTGATAAATGTGCAATAGAATCATTTTGGTTCTGGTATTCTAGATGATCCTTTTAAGAACTCTACCAGGGGCTTATGCTACTAGTATACCTACATTTATCTAAACTCAAAGATATATGTTATGAGTTGCAAACTTAGGGAACCTTCACCAGAGAACTGTCTACAGAGGCCGATGTTTAGCCACGGTTCTTAGAGCACAGAACAGTGATGATTTATTTGATGTTGACATACTTGTTAATGAAAACACTAATGTTCTTTAATTTTGTTAAAGGATGTAATATTGCCAAGGAAACCTAGGTCAAGCTCCATATAATTTTAATGTTAGGCAACTTTTCCTGACGTCTGTACATCCCTAACAATGCCCTGAGTACCCATACATGAAGAGAGAAACAAGTGCATTTCTAACATTTTCGATTGACCATAAAACATTTATAGAAATAGACAACCCATGGAAAGGTAGGCTGCTGTTTAAAAATTGGTGCAAATATTTTTCAATTATATTTGACATGCCTATATAAATAGCCCTTGCAAGAAATTCTTTGGTAAGAACAGAACTAATTTTCCCATTTTCTAAGCTACTGTGGAAGTGTCTGGTCCTTTTACAACAACCAAACTACTGTCAGCTATGTACAGGAACACTTACTTATATTCATCTTTGGCTTCATTTTTAAGCATACTGTTTCCAAAGGATCTTAAACTATGTAGTACCAGAGTGGTTCTCCTTTGTGCCATATGTTAAACTGTAAATAACACATTCTAAATAATATACATCAAGCAGAGCCCTTTCAACCCCTCACTACAAGTTGCCCACAGCAGAGCCTTTCCTTTAAAATGATCTTTGAGTTCTAAAAAGTGAAATTCCTTTAATCTCTAGGTGTTTATATCATCCATAACCCATAAAATTGATCTGCTTGGTATCTGTTACACTTTTCAAATATTTTCCATATAGTAATTTTAGTTGTTGTAGTTCTATCTTTCATCAGAAGATTCATTTTCTTTTTATCAAAAGGGCACTTACCCAGCATTCCAAGTATTTTTGTTGACTTTAACATTCCCTACATGGTGATTTAGATAAGCTATTTTTTCTATAAAATATAATGCCTATGAAATTATATCTTGTTTCTGTAAATCATTTAATCTGTTAGCTTTACTGGTACTATAAGCTTTGATTCCAAGATGCTCTATACAAGTCACTTTTTCAAACGGCCAGGTAAGTTAAAGATGTACTTTTGTGTTGTGAACTTTTAGTACCACTCAGAGCTTTTTTGGCTTGTAAAAATAAATACATTCCACAGAACACCTAAGTTGCATAATTTTCCTAAAATGATAAATGAGGGAGAAACAGAATGGTTCTATATCAAGTCCTTATCTGTTCAGGTTCATAGCACCTTTCCTTTTCCTTTTTAAACAAAAATCACTAAGTGCATATGTTTTAAAAGATAGATATAGCTTGAGATTTTTTCTAACTCTTGCAGAAAAACACATAAGGGCACTATATAATCTTTTTGTTCTCCAGCTCCATATCATACATGGGCATGTATATTGGTACTGTGTCTAAATAGCCCTGCACTACACTGTCCTTGAGACAGTAGCAGTAGTAAAGACTGGAAAGAAAATTCAAAAGGTGATATGTGATTGCTTGTTCATACAATTTTCACGACAGCAATTCTCCAAATCATATATCTTTCACTACTGGTTTAAAACTCATGCTTGCCAACATGAAACAACTACACATTTTAATTTCACTTAGTTTTGTATATATTTGAGAACTGTAACTTTTTTCCATTTTTTTCTTGGGACAGGATCTACTATGTAGCCTAGGATGGCCTTGAACTTGGAACCTTCATACCTCAGCTTCCCAAGTGCTGAGATTAGTGGCATGTATTATCACAGTTAAAAGTCTTCTCTTGAATTCCTTGTAGAAAAAGATAAACCAGCCAAATATCCAGGAAATACTTAAACATTGTAATTATTTTCATACTTTCTAAAGATTTATATTGTGTTAAACATTCCTCCAAAAATCTAGTGAAAAGTGATCATTTCTTCTTTCATTAAGTTCTATAGTATATAGTGAATAAAATTCAGATAACTAGCTTTTATAACTTAAGAGCCTTATTTAATACATTCTTTAAAGCTGAAGAAACCAAGCTGGACTTTAGAGTGCATATGTTTGCTAGCTTCCCACATCCTGAGCCAAGTCACAATTTAGCTATATTTAGTACATGTAGTTTAATGCAAAGATATTCTCAGTTCACTACAGTTCAGTATGTGAGTGCCTACCAAAAAGAATAACAGGGATGCCATATAGGCCTGCAGCCTCTCTTTTCATACAATGTCTGTCTTCTTCTCACCAGCTATTAAATTAGTAATTTCTTCTTCGTTGGCTTTCTTGAATTTACCTGATAAAGTAGAAAAGAAACCTTTGTACCAATATTGAGTTGATTTTTCCTTTCGTTACATTTATTTTAAAGCTGTTCATTCTTTCCTACTGTATATTAATATTTATTTTTCTCCAGCCCCTACTCCACTTCAAATATTTTCTAGTGGTTTCATTTCTTAACTGAAGTTAAGACAACTGAAATAATGCTGAAGGCACTGAGCTAAAAGTTAGACCCTTAAAGGAGCCACTCAAGAATCAGTGCTGGATGTGGAGGCTAAGGCTCTGGGATGCCTGTGAGTTCCAAGGCCATCTTGGGCCACCATAGTGAGTTCCAGTCCAGCCAAAATTACGTAGCAAGACCTTGTCTCAAAAACAAACAAACCAAAAAAACCGAACAAGTAGTTAATGTCAAGATTGAGCTTCCCGTGTGCTAGTTAGCTGAAATCAGTTCTGCTAATGATCTCAAAAGAACATTTTAAAAGACCTTGTTTAATCTTCTAAGAAAGAACACTTAGCAAGATGATGGTATTACATAACTTATTCTTTAAAATACAACAGATGATTCTCTTGTTTTCATATCAAGTAATCGAGATAATGAACAAATTGTGTTGTATGATTTGAGCAGCTAGGGCGTGTGTGTGTGTGTGTGTGTGTGTGTGTGTGTGTGTGTGTGTGATGAAATTTTTAGAGAGTATCTTGTTTCTTTTGTATAGATACCATTGCAACCAAATACACATTAAAATTTCAAGACATAATGATTAAAACTGGAAGCCTAGACAACAGCTCTTAGCCTATGTTTCCAATGACCAGGCTTAAAACTCTCTAGTCGCTTGTGCTGATGGTCACATTGGGTTAGAACTGTCTGAAAACATTCTTCCTTTCTTATGGTGGCTTATATGCAATACATGCAAGGAAGGCACTTTACCAATTTCCTTAACTTTCAAACTCTGTAAACAAAAGGACTTCAAATACATTCCACACTTAACAAGTGAGGCTAATCTTGAGTATAAGGAGAAAAGGTAGATGTTTATGGGATTTTAGTGACTACAGTCAGCTGTCGGTGTATCTTTCTCAGTTTCTTCTAAAAAAAATCTCCACTCTAAGTGTACCTCCAATAAAACTTGCTATCTGCCAGAAACCTGTCTTCATCAATAAAGCCCCCTCATTTTGCCCTCATCTCTGGTTTATCTTTATATTCTGAAAAGTTTAAGAAAGATGAATCTTTGAGAAGAAAATGAACATTCAAAATTACTTTTTTTAAAATTGATAATTGGCTAACATCAGACCTTTTTCAGTAACTACAACTTTCCATAATTATATTGTATATGGAAAAAGATAAAGGAAACCAATTTATGAGGATACAAACGTATCCACAGATTGTAGTGTCATGAAAGCACAAGAATAAAGCTGCAGGTGATTCCCAGAATCCAAGATGTCCAAGTAGCCCTCTGGGTTGGTTTCTGTATTTTTGGTATTTTGCATAATGCATGGATTTTTAGTTCAAATTAGGGAAAAAGTTTCTTAGTTGGCCGCACTTCCTTTCTTTACAACTCCTACCTTTCCCTTGCTGAGGAGGTAGTAGAAATTTTATACAATCTATTTTTATGAAACTTATGATTTCTCCCAGCATCTACAATGAAAACAGGTTAGAATACAGAATTTGATTAGTCTGGAAAATGCTAATTGACTACAAAAGAATCATTAGCCATCTTTATCTATAAACATTGACCAATTAGATGTTTCCATAATGCCATGTATTATGTATAGTACACTCTATTAATGTAAATGTAATGCTTGTTAAAAAAGTGCAATTTATTGTACATTGTCCCAACAAATGTTTACTTTTATAATCGTTATGAACTTGGATTGGATTGGTATCTTGTTTTCATGTGTGAATGAAACCTTGTGAAATAAACAAATGCAACCAAGAAAGTAGCAGGGTGATTGTTTTTGTGAGCCAGTGATGTTTTCAATGCTTTGTGTTGCCCCTTTGGTCCCATTAAACAGTAATAAACATTTGTTTTAAGGTCCATATGTCTCTGATTTTTTTTCAAGTTGCCTTTATCCTGAATCATTGGACTCTAGTCTGTATATAATATATACTGATGTTCGTCAACTTGGACAGAAAACATACATAAGCATTTGCTCCAGGAATCCCTACAGTAGTACCACTGCCAGCAGCCTTATTGTCCTCTGTTGAGTTTCCTTGGTTACAAGTAAAAGAAATTGTCTCAAGCTAGTTTAATAATTTTTAAAGGTAATTAATTAAAAGGAAATAGGATCAGCTATAACATGACTTCCTAAGGCCAAACCATTAGACCTGAAGAGGCACTGCAACCCAAGCATCTGTTTCCAGAATCATTCTAATTCTTGGCTTTCCAGGTGAGGATTATCTGTTTCATTTTTCTCCAAAAACATGCTTTCTTACTTTAAGTGCACAACCACCAAATATATTCTTCCTTCAAATGGTCATCAGATTTGGACTAGTCATCTCTGTCCCAATCTAGTTTCTTGCAAAAATATGATTAGCTAATCCTGGGTCAGATGACTGTTACTAGTTTTCCATACAGGAAGGTGGATAATGTTACACAATTCTAAAATATACTGAAGTTGTTCTATGGGTCCACAACTAGACAGGCATACCCACAGATTACTGCATTAAAAATCCTGGAGCTTGCCAGGCATAGTAGTACACACCTTTAATCCCAGCACTTGGGAGGCAGAGGCAGGGGGATCTCTGTGAGTTCAAGGCCAGCCTGGTCTACATAGTGAGTTCTAGTAAAGCTGGGGCTACAGGGAGACCCTGTCTCAAAAAGACCAAAAAAAAAATCCTGGAGCTGTGTTGCAGACTATAGCTGACACTGTAATTTTCCAGCAGAGGGAATATTGCCTGTCATGAAGATACAAATCCATAGGGGATGTTCTGTACTGTCCACATGCAGTTATACTCTAAATTCTCTTACACTATGTGAAAGTAATTGGACAGTCCAGGATATAGATGTGATTATATAATCTTACTATTAAACCAATGACTGCTGAGAGTTATGTGTTTTAGAGTATAACATTGTTTATTATGTTTTAGGTGACATTAGAGGTGAATAATATAGCAGTCAAAACTTACATGTCTTCTGTGGACATTTTATAAACACATTTTATAGTTGAATCTCAGTACTAGTGACATTTTGGGCCAGTTGATCCTTTTTTTTTAAGGCAGAGTCTCCCTGTGGCCCCAGCTGTCCTGGAACTTGCTATGTAGACCAGACTGGCCTTGAACTCACAGACATCTGCCTGCCTCTGCCTCCCAAGTGCTATGATTAAAGGTGTGCACCACCACACTAGGCTCAGTTCCCTGTATCCCTAGCCTCTGCCTACTAGATATTAGTAGTATTGCCTCAATAATGACAACCAAATATGCTCTCCAGACACTGCCAAATGTATGGAGTAAACAATACTGCCCCCAAGTAAGAAAAATGCTATAACCAGAAAGGGACTAACAAACTTTAAGTGGCAAAAAAGGCATTATAAGGAACAGGAGAATTAGAGGGTGAAGACATGGTGAATCTGGTGTGGCAGAAACTGATTTGATGGTTGGTTGTATGGTTTTTGATGAACTTGGTTGACCTGCTCTCCCCAGTTATTCAAACAGTGTTGCTGTAAAGGCAGAAAGCTCTATCTGTTCTCTTTGAGTAAGGGAGAAAGCTAGTATAATCCAGGTGGGCCTAAATCATCAGTTGGGAGGCCTTTTTTTTGTTTTGTTTTGTTTTGTTTTAAGCCAGGTACGGTCTTTAATCTCAGCACTCAGAGGCAGAGACAGGTGGATCTCTCTCTGTGAGAGCAAGTCTAGCCTGCTCTATTGAGCCAGTTTCAGGCCAACTGGGACTACAGGGAGGCTGTCTCAAAAAAACAAAATAAATAAATACATAATTTTTAAAAGGCTTCAGTTTTCAGCACTTAGAATAGTTTCTGTATTCCTAAGCCAACTGTGCAACATGAGACATCCAGCTGAGGTAGGAGGTACAGATTCAGTCTGCTCGAAGTTTAAACAGCTGTGAAGTCTTAAAAGCAGTCAAGGCTGAAGCTTTCTGGAAAATAAAGTTCCACCTAGACCATATTCTTACCTTCCTGGCTTCCTCTGAATAAATCATAGCACACAGCCTACTTGTGATTTTCCATTCCCGTCTCCCTGGCCTACAGATTTTGAACTTGCTTAGCCAATTTCCAAGGTGTATCCTCACTCACTCTTATTTTCTCCTATGGTCATACTTCTCTTAATTAATAGTCTAAAAGAACTACTTTAGTGTCACATTGAAATGAAGACATCATCTATGTGATGACTGGAGGGAGCAAATTCTAGGCAGAGTACAGATTTCTGAGGGAAAAAAAAAACCACAGTAGGTTCAATGAGTAACAAAAATGCTGTTTTTAAAACCGGGGCAAAAGTAGAGAGTGGTGACATTAGGTGCTAAGGGTGAAGGTGGGATAAGTGTTTGAGTCTCGCACATTTTGAAGCTTATGCCAGCAGGACTTTGTATGGAGTGGGATGTACGGCCAGAAGATTCAAGGACTCCTTGGCCTGAGCAATTAGAACTACATGCTTTCACCTAGAGCAATAGAGTATTTGTTCCTACTTAATTCCTGGGTATTGGCTGGATACCTTAAAAATCGATATATAACTAACTTACAATAAAAGACGCAGCTGTTCGTTGTTAGTTCATTTCATGAACTTTGATAGGATCTTGCTATGTTGCAGAAGCTGATCTGCAACAGGATCCTGAGTTCAAATGATCCTCTTGCCTCCACCACCAGACCCGCTTAAAACATTTTTGCCACCTTGGAAAATTTCTACCTAGGCCTTAGGGATAAACTACCAAAGAAACTAAACAAATGTAAGTTCACAGGTCAGTGAAATCTATAAAATGCATCTCCCTATAACCCCTACCCAAATCAAGAAAACACTACCTGGAGCTCAGCGCCCCCTGCTGGTTCCTTCCTGTCATTGTCCACTCCAGGAACACCGTTTTTAATACAGGCCGTGGGATTGGTGGTTTGAGACTACATAAAAAGCGAATTCAACAATATAAACTTTTGTGTCTGGCTTCTTTCCCTTAAGTCGTTTTGTGCAACTTTGTGTAAGAAATTCACGCGTGTTGGTAATGTTGGGGGTATGTATCGCACGCTTTTCCCTCTGACTTGCGGATTCTAATCGCTTCTTTGGGCGCCCAGTGAAGCCGACCGCGGACAGCTACCTCTCAAGGAATACTGTTTATGTTTACAACCTGTGTTACTGACATCTCTACACTTCCAGGAATTAAAACAATTGAAAACCCGGTTTGCTCCGGGGGGTTAGTGATCCGGGCTGCTACAACCAGGAGAAGGTACTTTAAGAAAAAGCCTTTAGCCCACATTTAGGAAAAGACAAGGCTTTGGGAAAGCTCGTTTCAGCAGTCATGAAGGGAAGGCAGGACCAAAATTTGGGCCACTCAAGATGTACCTATTTCCCACGGGTCGCGTCTAGGAGCCTCGTCATGTGGCCAACGCAACCCATCCTACGGTCCTCCGAGAGAATGCCACCACGTCAAAGGGCGCCAGTACCCACAGAAGTGTTCTCTTCAGGAACCTTTCTCCTTTTACATAAACCTCCCATTTTTTGTGTGGTCTTTTGACACTGGGTCTCTCTGGCGCCCCAGCTGGCCCGGAACTCGCTATGTAGCCCAGGCTGGCCTCAATTTCACAGGAGTGACAGAGGACACCGGCCTCTGTCTCCCGAGCGCTGGGACTAAACTTGTGCGCCACCATGCTGGGCAAACCGTTTTGTTTTTACTTTACGTGTTTTCCTTCAGCCTTTTTCTCGCGAGAGCTCAGACTAACCGAGACAAGATGGCTGAGGGAAGCGGTCCTTTCCTAACCACTGCCCCCTGGGCCTCGAAAGCTCTGTGCATTAGTTCCGGCTGCGTTGCGGCAGTTCCGAGTGCGGCTGCGCAGCCCGATCAAGGGGCGGGTCACAGGGTAAAGTCTCAGATGCCCAGGTGGGAGGAAGAAATGCGACTCCTCTCGAGAGGTCGAAAGCTCGCGAGAGTTGAGCGTTGCTAGGAGACAAACGGGAGGGTGGGGCTAGACTCGGCGGGGAAGGGCGGAGTCGAGGCGGCGGCGCGGACTCCGGAAGGTTCCAGAGGCGTCGCGTGCGGAGGGCGGTCCGTGGGAGTTGCGCTGGGTCGAGTGCAGCTCCGGCGGCGTGTTCGGTGTGGCGTTTCCTGTCCTCTTCGGTGCGCGGCTGCTGCTGGGCCTTAAGCCTGACCTGCAGGAATATGGCTTCGGCTTTGGAGGAGGTAAGGGTCTGCTCGTTCCAGTGCCGGCTTCCGCAGGGCGGCTGTCCTCCGCCCGGCTGGCGTGGCGGGTCCAGCCCAGACTGGTGCATGTCGGGCTCCGGCAGCTGGCGGGACTCGTGCATCCTGGTTACCTTCAGGCTTTTCTCGGGTCCTTCCCGCTCCGCTTTCCTAGCCAGGGTACAGGAAGCCCCGTTAAGTTACAGACGACTGCAAAATGTGCAACCTCCGGGTAGAGGGCAGTTGGAAGGTGTCCATCTCATAGATTGTAAAGATGGGGTGCTTCTAAGCGCCCGAGCCGGTGCTCCATGCCCTGTTGAGCGGCAGACCTACGGGCTCTGCTCTAGAACTACGCCCGCTCTATCACTGCCTTGCATATTCTGCCCTTCTTATGGTATATGCGTTTTTTAAAGATAAGTTAGAAAGTTGTAGCTGATGGTAGGAAATTGAACATTAGTAGTTGTATAAATGCTGAACATGGGTGAATGGACTTTTTGAGCACTCGGTTTACTCAGTTACAATCTGGGAATGATGCTCCCATTCCTCTTTTTATGGCTCTGGGTTTTACATGGTAAATTGTGTTCACAGAAGCGTTGGCTATCTGTTAAGTAAGATTTGCTTTTCAGAAACTTTCCCTTCAGTTTGCAGAGCAAGTCAAACATCATCCATAAATGTAGTGAAATTATGAGGTCGTGTTAAAATATTAATCTTGGGTATCTTGTCATAGGTAAGGCCTTGGGACCATGTGCCCATGTGGAGAGACTACAGTGGTTGAACTGCCGTACATATGGAGAGTTCAGTATCCTCTTCGAAGGACGGAACTTTAATAACTTTGAATTTGGAGATACACATTTAGGGGCACTTCCTGTTTTGAGATGAAATTAGCCTTAACCATTTTGAAGCGTACAGTTTATTTGTTCTTATTCCCTGTTGTACAGCCATCAGTACTTTCTAGCCTAAGAATATTTTCATCCTTTCAAAAAGAAGTCCATTAAGTATTTATAGGTGTTTAAACTCTAGCCTTGCATGTTTTCTGGTTCCATCTGTGGTCCAGCATGTATTAGTACAGTACACTTTTTTATGGTTGATTAAAAACACATACATACATACCTGTTGGTATAGACCAACATGTTGTTTCCTTTCCCTTCTTGACTATTGTGACTAATGCTGTAAATAACTTGTGTACAAGTTGTGTGTGAATGTGTGGTTTGTGACATGTCTTTAGTCTGTGGAGTATATACCTGAGTGGTGTTCCCAGATGATACAGTAAGTCTTAAGAAACTGTACTGTTCCCATAAGAATCACCCTATTTCTCCATGTACCCACCTACATTTGTTATTTTCTTGGGCATTTTTTTTAACTTTTTCTAGTACCATTCTAGCAAGTGTGAAGTGTCGTATCTCATGGATTTGTTGTGTCTTCCTAAAGATGTGATGCATGTATTTGTGTACTTGGTGTCCATTTGTATATCTTTGGGGGAAAGATCTCTTCTTCGTCCATTTTCGAGCAAATTGTTCAGCACCTAGTGACTGAGAAATAGAAGCTAAAGGAAGGGAGCTGTATGTCTGTATGCACAGAAACCAAATGCCTATCAAGAAGGCAAGAAAAGTTACAAGATCAATTGGATACAAGAAGCTGCTCTCTCTGGGTCTTGCATATGCACTAAACCACCCTTGGGGGTTTCAGGTCTGCAAGTATAAAAACTGAAGACCAGCTCTGTAAGTTGCTTCCATGGATACCTTACCAGAGAGTACTTTAGAGCCAAAACTGGTGGTTAAAAGGGGCCTGGAAATTCTGCCGTGAGTCAGCTAGAAAAAAAAGGATTCCTACGCCAGTTAAAAGAAAATCTCTTACTTAGATTTGATACAGTCTCTTATTCTGGGACAAGTACTTGTTTTACTTTTAATATTTTTGTTATGTTGGTATTAGAATACACAGGAGTTTTGAAACCATTGATTGATCTTTGAATAAAAATATCTTGATTCTATATTCGGAAGATGAGTGTGCAGTTTTGATCTTAATGTGAATTTTTCTTGAGATTGTGGACGGGAGCTGCACTGTTGTGCATCTTATACTATCTACCTTATACTGTACTATCTTAGATCTTAGTCAAGGGCTTATGTGTAAATGAGATAATAAAAGGCCATGGAGTAGTGGGCTATGTCTCAAAAAGACCAAAAAAAAAAAAAAAAAGAAAAGAAAGAAAGGCTTTCAAACTCCTTTGTACTTAAGATACTATCCTCATATCTAGCATTTGAAGTTTTATTTACATTGAGCCATTTAGTTAATATAAAGTTAGAAAAAGATTTTGTTTTGTTTTTATGACCAGGTTATTTAGTACCAAGGCAGAACTCAGTTACTTGAAAAGATCTTACACCATTTACATATATTTAAGTTGGCGGATGAGAGGGAAAAATGTTTAAGCCCATTAGTTTTTTTAAGATGTATTTTTATGTGTGTCTGTGTGCATGTATACTACATATGTGCAGGAGGCCTATGGAGGCCAGAAGAGGGTGTTAGATCCCTGGAGCTAGAGTTAACAGGTTGACTGATGTGAGTGCCCTAGGGAAGAACAGCAAGTGCTCTTAGCCATCTCTCCATTCCCAGTCCATTGATTTTTCTAGCTTTGTCTTTAATGAAGTTCAACAACATCATAAAGTCTCTCTCTCTGTAGAGGGCAGAAGACTTTAATCAATGACATATTGGTGTCACAAGAAAACAGATTGCAAAAGATCAATTTCCAAGAGTATGTTCATACTCCAAGTGTTCAAGTTTCTCTTTTTGTGAAAAGAAATCTCAGATTCTGACTATAATACTGACCCAATTGCTAAACAAGACTTCTTAAAAGCAGAGTTCATTTTATTACACATATTTATGTGGTGCTTTTAGAAGTAAGAAGACAACTTGGCGAGTACTGATTCTCTTCTCTGACCATGGAGATGAGCTCAGGTCAGCAGGCCTGGCATTAAGCACCTTTACCTACTAAGCTATCTTGCCAGCCCTATTTTGTTTCTTATCTTTTTCCTTAAAAATTAAAACTGTTATTTATGGTCTTGGAGATAGATAAGTGAGAACCATAAGTTAAATTTTTCTAAAATTTGGTGATGCATAGACTTGTCTGAACATCCTTTTTTCTGTATTCTCTAGTTTCTTTTTTGAGAAACAGCCCATTAAACTGGCAAGTTAGACTTGATTACTTATTAGTGGTTTAAGATTTTCTTTTAATAAAAAAAAGTGTGAGTTATTTATAATTCAAAGGCTTAAAGGGAGTAACTGAAGTCTGGAACCCTCAAAATGAAGATGAGCTGGTGATGGTGGTGCACAGCTTTAATCCCAGCACTTGGGAGGCCGAGGCAGGTGGAGCTCTTGAGAGTAAGGCCAGCTGAGGCTGTAGGGAAACCCTGTCTATAAATAAGTAAATAAATAAGTTACAAACATGTTAGCTTTTAGTTCTTGTTTCAAGAAGTTGAAATTACTGGTAGGCCTTAATTATCCCAACTTATATTCTGTTTTAACAGTTGCAGAAAGACCTAGAGGAGGTGAAGATATTCCTGGAAAAGTCCACTAGGAAGAGAGTACGTGATGCTCTTACAGGTGAAAAATCTAAGATTGAGACAGAAATAAGGAACAAGATGCAACAGAAATCACAGAAGAAACCAGAACTTCTTGACAATGAAAAGCCAGCTGCAATGGTTGCTCCCATTACAACAGGTTACACGGTGAAGATCAGCAATTATGGTATGACTTGCTTCGCTATAATTTTTTTTTTCTGCCAAGCAGAAATAACTCACCATTCCATAAATCTTGTTTTATGATTTTTTTATGTGAGTGGGAGTACAGTTGTATATCACCAGGCTGGGTTCAAGAAGTAGAACCCCAGCATTCTACTTTGTCCTGAAAGAGAGTTGGAAAGGCCAGGGCTAAATGTTTTTAGACTGCTTAGGGAAGTAGAAATGGTCATAGACTCAAGACAGTCGTGGAGAATTACAACTTATTCTTGAGACCGGGATTGAATGTAGTACTCACTGTGTAGCTGATGACTTTGAACTCCTGTTTCTCCTGCCTTTATCTTTCAGGTGCTAGAATTGCAAGTGTGTGCTAACCATGCTCAGATCAAATTTTAGATGTAGGACAAAATTATTTTACAAAACAACAGGTAAATAGGCTAATCCTAGTATATTTGCTGGGCATAGTGCCATGTGCCTATTATGTCAGCTACATGAGAGGCTGTGGTAGGAAGATTACACATTTTGAGGCCAGCCTGGGCAATTTACACTTTTCCCAAAATAAAAAGGATAGAAAAGAAAAATTGAGTGCTTGCCTAGTAATCATGAGGCTCAGGCTTTGAACTCTAGTTCACAAAAAAAAAAAAAATTTTTTTTTAAGAAACACATTTAATGATGGTATTTTTATTGTAAGGAATATAAGAGCATAGGTTTTGTGTTCAGAAACTGAATTTGAGTCTGTGTTCTACTACTTGTTAGATGCCTACTTTAGGAATAGTACCAGGTTTTTAAAAACAATTTTATTTATTAATTTTATGTGAATGAATGTATTGCCTACATGTATGTAAGTGCACCTGTGTTAATGCAATGCCTGCAGAGGTCAGAAGAGGGTCAGATCCCCTGGAACTGGAATTACCATGGTTGTTAGCTGCCATGAGGATCCTGGGAATCAAACCCGGGTCCTCCGCAAGAGCAGCCAGTGCTCTTTACCCCTGACCCATCTTTCCACCCAAGGAATAGTATATACTGAAGCATCATTTCTCCATCCAGAAAATTTAACTTAATCTTTTTCGTGCTTCTATTTCTAGATTTTCATATTTTTATGTTACTGAGTTTTGTGATGAGCCATGTATACTTGCTGTTCTAAAGACAGTTTCAGACACTCTTTCCATCTTGTTTTGCTAGGATGGGATCAGTCAGATAAGTTCGTGAAAATCTATATTACTTTAACTGGAGTTCAACAGGTTCCCACTGAGAACGTGCAGGTACATTTCACAGAGAGGTAAGTTCTCATCATTTGGAGAAGTGTAGAGATCGTTGTCTTATGGGAATCTTCTGTATAGTTTCCAAAATTCTGAAATTTAGAATTGATTATACTTTATGCTTACTCTGAAGAGGTGTGAACATCATTTGGGACAGCCAAATGTAAATGTACACACTAAAATACAGCTGGTGACTTAGTTTCTTAAGAATTATAGAATGCCTATCATAGAACCAGAAAAATAATGCATTCACTGTTATGTTGTAGGTCATTTGATCTTTTGGTAAAGAATCTAAATGGTAAGAATTACTCCATGATTGTGAGCTACCTTTTGAAACCCATCTCTGTCGAAGGCAGTTCCAAAAAAGTAAGTCTTTTTGTTTTTTGTTTTTCTCACAATATTGTGAAAACCTCATTAAATTGAATTTGGCTGATTTAGGATGGAGATGAACTAAAATAAAATTCTCTGCCGTATCTAGTAGCAGTAAAGTGTAGTCCACTGCCTGATTTGTAAATGATGTGTTGCTGGAACAGGAGACTAGGTTGTGTAGCCCATGAAACCTAAAATATTTACTATCTGGCCCTTTGCAGAAAGTTTGCCAATTCATTGTAAAAGAATAGATTGTTGTGAGAATAACTGCATTAAAACTAAGGAGAGTAAATGTTTTACATGGTTGAGTTTTAATGCCAGCTTTATTTATCACTTAGTAGCTGTGACTGCTGTCCCCATTTGTACAGTAGTTATTTCACAAAGTTGGAATGGTATACCGAAATAAAAAACACGAAGTAGTTACAGTATTAAGTGTATTACATGTAAATTTTTGTTGCATTATAAGGAGGTCTTTACTCAGATTAATTATAGAAGCTGTAAAACTAATGAAATTGTCCTAAGAAAAAAACTGCTGTTCATACTTTTTTTTTTTTTAAACAAATTTAGACAATGCCTCTTTCCAGTTTGAATAAGTGAGGTTTAATATATCAGATAGACAGGCCATTCTGCTGTCCGTTACATACTAGCTTGAAAACAGTTTGTTGACTAGTTAATGTCTACTGCACATCACTTCATCGATTAATCCCCTAGTTGAAGGACTATTCTAAAGACCACTGGGAGTTACATTGATTGCTGATTTGAAAGTTGCTTGTCCTTGCTCTCCCTTGAATCACTTTACTCTAGATCTCTTCTTTAATCACTGAAATTCATTCCTTTTGAAACATAACCAAGATCATAGCATCTTGGAGCCATTCTGTTTGCTGTATTAGCCACCATCTTTTAGGTCTTGAGAGTTCATATTTGCTGGGCATGGTGGCGCACACCTGTAGTCCCAGCACTTCGGAGGCAGAGGCACGTGGATCTCTGTGAGTTAGAGGCCAGCCTGATCTACATAGTAAGTTCCAGGCCAGCTGGGGCTACAGGAAGGCACTGTCTCAAAAAGACAAAAAAAAAATTCATATTTTATCCCAAAAAAGCCCTTCTAATGAAGTTCTTCCTACACTTCTCATTGTCTTTTTTGAGGATGTGGGTATAGATGTGCCATGGTGCATGTGTGGAGGTCAGAGGACAACCTAGTGTCAGTCCTTGCTTTCCTCCTTGAGATAAGGTCTCTTGTTAATTCTCTACTGTATACACCAGGTTACCCAGCCTACAAGCTTCTGGTTTTTCCTGCCTACATTTCCCATCATGCAGTAGGAATCCTGGATTATGTGGACTCTGGACTTTTTTATGTGGGCTCTGGGGAATCTGAATTTAGGTTCTTGTGCTTGCATGGCATGTGCTTTGCCTACTGAACCATCTTCTCCAAGGTCTTATGGAGCCAAGGCTGGCCTCCAGCTCACAGTAGCTGAAGATAACCTTGAACTCCTTATACTCCTACGTCCGTCTCCCAAATGTTAGAGTTATAGGTGTGTCCACAATACTGTTTTATGTGATGCTAGGAATTTAACACAGGGCTTCATACATGCTGAGCAGGCACTATATCAACTGAGCCACATCCTCATCCATATCTTTAGGTCTTAATAACATTTATTAGTATTGAAGGTTTTTAAGTTTTACTTATTTGTATTCTGGCCTATTCATAAAAGTATGACCTAATACCAAGAATGAGAATTAACATGCTAGGCACTTGATTGAGTTATCTAAAAATTTGTGCTTTCCTCCATGTATTATGAGCTATATTTCCTTTGCTACTTTTCTTCCAGGTCAAGACTGATACAGTTATTATCTTATGTAAAAAGAAAGTAGAAAACACACGATGGGACTACTTGACTCAGGTTGAAAAAGACTGCAAAGAGAAAGAGTGAGTTTTCTCTTCCTTTTTCTTTCTTTTGTTCCCTTCCTTTTCTTTCTTTCCTCTCTCTCTCCTCTCCTCTCCTCTCTCTCTCTCCTCCCCCCCCCCTTGTCTTTCTGTCTGAGACAGAGTCTCCCTGTAGCCCTAGCTGGCCTGGAACTATTGTAGACCAGATTAGTCTTGAACTCACAAAAATCCACCTGCCTGTGCCTCCCAAGTGCTAGGATTAAAGGTGTGCACCACCACACCTGGCTGACCATTTCTTTCTTGATATCTGCTGTGTTAATTTGCTTTCAACTGACAGTACCTGCCTGAAAAAACAAGCATTCAGCAATTTTTTAAAAAGGCATTTATTGTAAAGTTGGCTCTTTGGTATTGTTTCTATCTCTGGGCATATTGGTGTTTCTGTAGATAACTGTGCCTATTCCTAGATAATTAGATAGTTTTGTTCTAGGAATTCTAGAATTGCTCTGCTACCCAGGTGGTTTAAAAAATTTTGTTTGCTATTTTATGAGTGTCATGCTTGCATGCATGTAAGTGCACCCGTGTCATTTAGTGGTTGCAGAGGTGAGAAGAGGGCATTGTACTCCTGCAGCTGGAGATTACCAATGGTTGTTAGCTGTGGGTGAGATTCGAACCCAGGTCCTCTGCAAGAGCAGCCAGTGCTCTTAACCTCTGAGCCAACTCTCCAGCCCCCAATCAATAGTTTTTAAAATTCCTGATGTTTGTGAGATAGTTGATTTCACTGTGGTTGGTTTTGTGTGACAAGATACTTTTTTTTTTCTGACAGGGTCCTACTAGCTCAGAACTCTAGATCCTTCTGCTTTTTGTCTCCCAAGTAATGGGATTACAGGTGTTCACCCCCATATTCAGCGTTTTTTTTGTTTTTTTTTTTTTTTAATGTGTATGAGTGTATTGCCTGCATGTATGTGAGTCATGCAATGCCATGGAGGTCAGAAGAGGGCTTCAGATTGCCCTGGAACTGGAGTTAAGGATGATTCATAGCTGCCATGTGGGTGCTGGGAATCGAACCCAGGTCCTCTGCAGGAGCAGTCAGTGCCTTAATCACTGAGCCATCTCTCCAGCCCCCGTATTCAGCTTTATTTTTATCCTTAACAATTGTTTCAAAATTATTTTTCCGATAACTTCCATTCTGGGTCAGTTCTTGTGTTTCAAGTTTCCTCCTGCAGTTGATAGTGTACTGCATTGAGTCAGTCATGTTCATCATGCCTCTCTTGGTAGCCAGCATGCATTCGGGAACTGACAGGCTGGAGTTAAACATATTTGACTACTTGGGGAGTTGATTTTAAATGTAGCCTGGAATACTTGAGTATAAGACCCTGTCATTGTATCTTCAGTATGGAATCAAGCAGTACATTGAATGAATGCTGGACATGGTGATGCATGCTTGTAATCATAATATTTGGAAAGCTGAGTCAGGAGGATCTTGAGATGGAGGCCAGACCGAGTTTACATAATGAAACTTATTTCCAAAAACAAATGCATACAAAGCTAACTTATTGGCTCTGTTTGGACATGTTGCTGACCGTGTTAATTGAAGACTATACCCTCATCTCTATGCCCAGATTCATGCATCTCAACATTAATGGTTTTCCCAATTAAAATTTATGAGCTTTATTATGTATTCATGTTATGCATGCTTTTGTACATTTTCCATTGGTCAAGAAGGTTTACAAGTTAGGAGGTTGGAAAGGTGGCTCAGTGTTTAAGAGCACTGGCTGCTCTTGCAGAGGACACAGGTTCATATCCCAGCACCCATATGCCAGGTAACAACCATCCATAACACCAGTTCCAGGTGATCCAGTGCCCTCTTCTGGCCTCCACAGGCATTGCATGGCATGGGTACACTTAAATACATGCAGCCAATACATTCGTGCACATAAAATAAAAAATGTTTTTAAAAATCAAATTAGAAAGTTTGCTTTAAAAAAAAGCCATTTGAAATGTTAACTGCTTGGTGACTCCTTGCTTGCCATTTTGATCCCCTTTGTGCACTGTGTACATGTGGGTATATAATTTTAATAGGATAAACTTAGGTGTGCTAGTTTGGTTGTATGCTGGTGCATTGTCTCTCCTCTACTTCTATTAACCTAAAGGTATCCATGCTTCGATTTTTCCATTGTAGTCTCTTTTCTTTTTAGCAGAAAGCCTGCGTATGATGCTGAAACAGATCCTAGTGAGGGATTAATGAATGTTCTAAAGAAAATTTATGAAGATGGAGATGATGACATGAAGCGAACCATTAATAAAGCCTGGGTGGAATCAAGAGAGAAGCAAGTCAAAGGAGAACCAGAATTTTGAGATTTTTAAGTCCTTTTGGGAACTCTGATGGGAAATACTGATGAAAGCCTGCGTATGGTGCTGAAACAGATCCTAGTGAGGGATTAATGAATGTTCTAAAGAAAATTTATGAAGATGGAGATGGTGACATGAAGCGAACCATTAATAAAGCCTGGGTGGAATCAAGAGAGAAGCAAGTCAAAGGAGAACCAGAATTTTGAGATTTTTAAGTCCTTTTGGGAACTCTGATGGGAAATACTGATGTTTCCAATAAGGGAATGATGCTGAACTGCACATAAAATTCAACAAATAACTACACACCTTTGTTCTAAGTAAAGGCAGCAAATTCTCCATTTCTTACTGGAGAATTCACTTTAGATAAATATACTTATTAAACTTCCTCCATTGGCACTCTGATCATTTTAAGAAAGTTATATGGCATTCTTGTTGAATTGTTAAAAGGAAGCCTTGCATAATGAAAATGGTATGTTTTGTATTTTTGTTTGGCTGGGAGTAGAAAATAAAAGTGTTTGCTTACCTGTAATTGACATCAGCTCCCACTAATGTAAGAGTAAACCCAGAATTTTTGCATAAAATTCAAATTTGTACATGAAATTAAAAGAGCAATTGATGCTTTATTACCAGCTTACCAATGTATATGCCATGCATTACCATGTATTGCTGATCAAATCACAAATATTCCTATCTAGATTTAAATATATCTGTGAATATAAAATTGAAACAAAACACAAATTTAACAAAAACAGATGAGCATCTTTGTATGGTAAGTACAGCCATGGATCAGATGGCTTATTAAATTAGCTATGATGCAAAAATAATTTGAAAATCCATCTATTCTTGTGTTAATAAACTAGAAGTGTGAGAGAAGTTAGGCTTTGTCATTACATTTGTAATTGCAGTAAGATAAGTAAAAGCAATTAGACATAGGAAAAATCCAAGAGGATCACTCAAACTACAATTAAGATTTGAGTTTAAAATTAACATCCAAAAAAAGCCTATGTTCAGGATGTCACCCAAATGACTTTTTTTCTTTTCTTTCCCTTTTTTTTTTTTTTTTTGGCTTTTTGAGATGACAGGGTCTCTAGCCCCAGCTGGACTGGAACTGTGTATACCAGGCTATCCTCTATATCAGAGATCTGCCTGCCTCTGCCTAAACAGGCATGGTGCCAGTACATGGAATAAAAGGGCCAGTGAAACAAAAATAGGAAAAGTGCCTTTTCAGAGGTTGAGAATATAATGGGTAGCACCTCAGAATAGTAGTGGGGGAAGATGAGTTAATGGTACTGACTAAAAATAGCTGTATTCTAATCACTTATCAAAGATCCTACATGTAAAAATGAAGTATACATGTACTAGAATACATGGAATTCCTTTGTAATCTCAGGGAAAACAGTCAATTTAAAACATAGAAGGAATAAAAACACATGGCAGGCAAAGTCTACCATAACTGAAAATGAGGACATACTGAAAGTTAGTTGGGTCACCAAAAAACCGAAAACATGAAAAGTGTGGGTGGGGGGACTAGTTGGGAATAGGGGGTCAGTGAAGAGGGTAATGGGAGATGAATACGATCAAAATACATAGGTATGAAATGTCAAACCATTACGGTATGTATAGTATTTAGAATGCTAAGAAAAACCACACTGCTCTTGGATAAGAAAACTCCAGTTTAATACACTGGATTATTTCATGTTTAAATCTTGGGAATAAAATGAAAAGATTCAGCTCATACAGAAAGGTATTGGTAATAAAGTCTCATAATTACCTGTATGTTTATCTTAACTCAAAAGTCTAGGGACAATGGGATATAAACTGGAAGAAAGAATATATAAGCAGATGGTGGGAAACAAATACCTATTGTTAACAGGGGACTAGCTTAATATAGTATGGCACATCCAAATGGATACTTAGTCATAAAAGATGATCAAGAGGATAAAGTATGGAAAGGTAGAGTGCAAAATGTTTTAAGCATTTTTGTATTAAGGGAGGCTTAGAAATATGGATATACACATCTACTTGAATTTGAAAAAGAAACCGGACAGCTGGGCATGTTCATGTCTTAATCCCAGCACATGGAGGGTAGGGCAGGATATTGAGTTTAAAGGATCTCAATGGTGGAAGGTGCCTTAGAAGGAAGAATGCCTCCTGTCTTCCAAGATGTCTTGGCACTGATATCATTCAAGGAGGAGAGGCCATGGCCTTACACTTCCTAAAGACTCCACCTCTTAATACTATGCACTGGAGATTAAGGTTCAACATGAATTCTGGAGAGGCACAAATACTTGGCATAAACTAGTCTCAAGTAACTTTAGAATATATCATTTGTCCCATTGCTACTGAGGAGTCTAATTTTATGCTGCAATTAGTGGTGTTAGTAATAAACTTTATATATTATGATAAACAGGTTGATGCCATTAAGCGTTTTTTGTTTTTTTTTAATGTGTCTGTGTGTACATGTCCATGTGGTTGCCTGCAGAGGCTAGCAGCATTGGCTCCCCTGAAGCTGGAGATGGCTTTGAGCCATCAGAAGTGGATGCTGGGAACCAAAGTGGAAGACCAGTAAGCATTGTTATCTGCTGAGCCCATCTCTCCTTCCCCTCAAGAGTTAAGTTTTTTATGTAAGATGTGTTCTGGTATATACACAGCACTACCAAAATTCACCCCGGATCTAGTCCACCCTCTGGATGTAACTACTAGCTTACATGAAATTTGAGGGACTGGACATTTTACATAAAACTCTTGGTTTCTCCAAAAAAGTAAAGGAGCTTAAAAGGGATTAAGAGAAATGGCAACCAAATTAAATACATAGACCATGCTTGCACTCACTGAAACCACCAAAAAGGTGAGGATGTCCTATGGATGAAATGCCAGAAATCAAATTTGATAGTCCTGGGTATGATTTAGTTATTATCCAGAGCACCCTAGTTTTTTTAAACATTTTTATATGTGTTGACTGCACGTGTAGGTGCACCCATGTCACACAATGCCCATGGAAATCATAAGGTGTCGGATCCCCTGGAACTAGTTAGAGTTGTTAGCTGCCATGTGGGTCCTCTGGAAAAGCAGTGTGTTCTTAACTGCTGAGCCATCTTTTCAGCCCAGAGCAACCTAGTTCTAAATTGTCGAAATAATTTAGGAAATACAAACCCTAGGCTTATAATTCCCTCATAAGTCCCTCCTCCTGAGTTTCAGATTTCATTGGATAACAGGCATCTCAAACCTGAACTCATCTTTATCCAGGAATCCAGAGCCCTACCTCTACCTCCTTCCTATAGGAATGACTTTACAAATGGACAGAATATGGTCTGATTTTAGTTAACCCCAGCAAAACAATGTGCTCTTGGGTCTTGTGACCTGGACACTTGAATTGTTTCCTTAGATACCTCAATGTAGTACTCCACCCAGAAAGATAATGAATGTAGGTATGCTTGAGAATTAACATATCAAAGCATTAAAAGGGCACACGCATCTCCACTGCAAACAGACTGGAAAGGAGGTGAGGCTGGAAGAAAGATTTTAGAATGAGGGATGAAAAGGCTGTTGAGATAAAGCTAGAGCCAAATTTGTATGTTCCCAATTGAACCTAGAGAAACTATTTTGATGGGTGGGGCCTGACAATTCCACCAGCACTGTGCCAGATATCTAGGGGAATGAGTGTCCTCTGAGTTGGGGCCCACTCTTCAAAACTAAGTCAGGCTTTGTTCAGGTAGTGATTATGTTAGCATAGTAAGGCTGTACCTCAGAAGTTATATACAGTTAACTTTAAGTCTTGCCTAATAGTCTTTCCTCAGTAACAGCTTAGTTCAGCCCTCCATTCCTGAACAATTAGACATCCTCCTAAAATGTCTTACCTGTAGCCTTTACCTTTAACAACCATACAGCTATCAGTTATCTGTATAACTCTTTTTTTTGAGACAGGGACTCCCTATAGCCCCAGCTGACCTGGAACTCTACAGACCAAGCAGGCCACAAACTCAGAGATCTGCCTGCCTCTGTGTCCCTGAGTGCTGGGATTTAAGGCATCTGCCATCATGCCCAGCTAAGATTCTCCAAAATCTTAAGTTTTAGCTCCCTCACATGATAAGTGCTCCATGATACACACTGCTTGCCTTGTGCTTATTTCTGGATGATGTGGGCTAATTGCTGCTGCTTTGTGCTTTAGTTCCTATTGCAAGTCAATCTCTTCAATCCATGAATATGTCCTGATGTGACTTAAGTGTTCATACTACTATTTATTTTCTTGTGTGTGTGTGTGTGTCTTTTTGAGACAGTGTCCCAGTAGCCACAGCTGGCCTAGAACTCACTATGTAGACCAGGTTGGCCTCAGCACTCGCTCTGCCTCCTGAGTGCTGGGATTAAAGGCTTGCACCATCACACCCAGCTATACTATTATGCATCTGTTTTCATCTTTAGGTTGATGACAGCTGAATTACCATATGAGACAGTCTTTATTCATGTTACAAAATATACTATTCCGTAAAAAATTTCTCTTTGGATATATTATTGGGCTTAAGAGCATATTTTATATTAAAAGATGCCCTTAAGGTGGAACAGGATAATTATTTATTGGTTCTTCTATTCACTATCACACAAAGGTGAACATTAGATGATGTAGACTATCAGCTTTAACTCCTATTGTTTCTCTAAAAATAACAGTAAGGTAAACTGCAGGTCAGGGCCATAAATTGCCACAGATGAGTGACTGACTGCTAATTGGGTTGTCTGTTAAAAGTGTACTGTGAAATCACATACTTTAAAAATACAGTTCTTCTGTGTTACTAAAACATCAAATTTGAAGGAAAATATTTTCACAAAGTATTTTTATTTCACTCTTACTCCTTGTATAGAATATGTCTATAAAGTTAAAGAGAAAGGACAATTCAATGACAGAAATATCCACATTTTTTCACTTAAAATATAAAAGTAATTTACCCACAGACAGCATCATGCCAACTAAACATTCTAGAGCCTCATATATCCTAGGGTTTAGTCTATTGGAAAAGTCTCTCCTTGCTGCCAGCACTGGCTTTCCTGAAAGCTCAGTAGGTTCTGAAACTGTTTACCACATTGCTCGCTGGACGCCAGAAAGTTGCCCGTGGTCAGCTAAGTGACGGAAGACTATGCGACTAAGCCTCCATCGCCGCTTTACACCACGAGGACGGGATGTCATAACACACCTATTTCTGATTCTCACAGGACAGCTATCCCGGGGAAGGGCAGCAATTTCTTCATCAGCTATTTCCTAGGGAGAAATAATAACATTACTATATAGATCACAACTCAGTGCTTAAAGGGTTAGGATCTAAGCCAAAGAACTGGGTACAGTAGTAAACCTTACCCTTTAAATATAAAGCAGAAAACTAGCCATGTTTGATGTATTTATAACATAAAAATTCAGTCAAGAATCCACAAATCATAAAGGCAAAACTGTGTTTTCATCAACAGTGTAGCACACACTAGAGTATCAAATAACATTATAAAAATTCAAGACTTTATCTTCACCTCCTTCCTACTAACACTGGCTAACAGGTAATATGTCCACCAACACTATAAATACGAGTACTTCCTGTTGGAAATGGTATATAAATATGCCCGTAAGTTTTTATTCGTTTTGACTTTTCTCATTCAGCAATATGCTTGTGAATTCACCCTCAGAGTTCCAAGTGTCATTACTGGCTCATTCTCACTGGTACTAATTTTGTTGTGAGTATATGAATTCTAATTCATCCATCCTATAGCTGATAGGAATCTAGGTAGATTCCAGTTTTGAGCTGTTACGAATAGTGCTGCTATATCTTCGTGTAGGTCATTTGAAAACTCACTATGTAGGCCAGGCGGGCCTCAAACTCAGAGATCCACCTGCCTCTGTTGGGATTAAAGGCGTGTGCCACCATGCCTGGCTCAGTCTGCTTTCTTATACAACCCAGGACCACCTGCCCAGGGGTGGCACTACCCACAGTGGCCTGGGCCCTCCCACATCACTCAACAATCAAGAACAGGCCTAAAAGGCATGCCCACAAGGCCAATTCAATATAAAAGCAATTCCCAACTGAGTTTCCCTCTTCCCAAGTATGTCAAGCTGGTAACTAAAACTATCCAGCACATACCCTAACATTTGAGGACACGAGCTTCAATAGTACCTAGGGAAACCATCAAATTCACAAACATTCAAAATTCCTGATGTTCAAGAGCTTATGCATTTGTTGATATGAAGTACATGGAGAATTAGAGAAAACACCACAATGAATCAATGAAGCACTACAGAAGGATGTACAGATTTATCTATGCACATACTCCCTTCTCAAAAACTTTTAAGCCTGCCACAACTGGAACGTAAATGTGACTTGTAAGCATCAGGTGGTCCCAATCAGTTTCCAGAGTTCAGTCTCTGCACTATTACTGGTACTAATACCAGTTATGAGTTCATAGAGAACTCATAACACTGACCCCTTGCCTTAATTGGTAATTAAAATTTGTATATATTTAGGATATAAAATGTCATGATTGGTACATGTATACTGTTAAATTTAACACAAGCTAACTAGCAAATCCTTCAGCTCATACATTTAGTCATAAGAATATACTCTAAGCTAACCTCAAGTGAATAATCCAGTACTGACTTGGAACCACTACGCTACTATTTTAGATGCCCAGCAATCTATTCACCTCCTAACTCCAAGTTGTGTGCTCTTTGACCAGTCATGCCAGACCTTCCTGACTTCCAGCTCCTAGCAGCCACCATTCTACTCTGCTTCTTTGATCAACAGTGTCTTGAGCTGAGTTCCTCAAGGCCGCCTTTCTACTCCTTAAATGGACATGTAATGCCACTGTGGTAAGTCCTAAAAGAGTGGTCCTGGGAACTCAGTTTTCCACCCATCTGGCTTAATCCAAACAAGATTTAAAACTATACCTAATAACAGACTGTGTATCATTCTGCCAGCTTGTATAAATATTATTTTCTTTAATCTGAGCTTTGGTAAGTGGCCTTGAGTTTATAATCTTGAGTATAATCTTGACAAACCTCTTGAGTACAGGCGTTCTATGTCACCACTTAAGTACAGAACCTCATTCCTGAGGAAGCCAAGCACAGATGACATCGTATTTGACCAGAAGTACATGACAAGAAAGGAAGGCTAAATGGAACCAGATGGGTTCATGTGATGGGCACACAGCCTCTAGAGTCAACAATGCCTCCAAATGCCTAGAGATTCCCATTCACTAGTACTTTCTAGGGATTGCATAAAGAAGTGGCTGAAAGACTAGTAAGGAGTGAATAGTCTTTTATCTTAAACCTAACAAAGTCAACTTTAAGGCTATTTATGTTGATTTATTTGATCTTCCCCCCAAAGTACAGTAGTATTAAACCATAATAAAACAGCATCAAAAAGATCTGCAGTGAAGTGAGTTAATGATTTTGTGAGAGGACTCAAGTGGCTAACCTGAAGGCCTTTTGGCAAAATGGTATTCTTCCTAAGTGAATTGATCCGCAGCCTCTCATCTGCATATTCATAGGCCATTTTTCGTCTCTTCACATCCCGCACCATTTTCCAGTCTACATGGTAACTTCGAATTTGTCCTGAAGCTGATGAAGGAACCAACTGAAAGACAAACAAGAAATACGGGATCTGCAAGTGCTGCTTGCAGTTACTGCTTATGATTTAGTAACTTAAAACCCTTTTGAAATTACATTTTGCACATGTGTGTATGTGTATGCATGTACTTCAGAGGACAACTTTTGGGAGTCAGTTCTCTCCTTCCACCATATGAGTCCTACAATGATTTTTCTCAGTTACTCCTCAACTCCCAATTTTCACACCAGGGGTCTATTATTACTAATAAAAGCAACTCGATTCTCTGCTCCTTCTAATGCCTCAATATAACCCCTCTCATCCTTTAACCCTTGGATCCTATCATCTTTTCACTGTGTCTCAGTTCTGTCTTTCTTAACTAGTTTGAGTTTCCTGTGTAGTGTTCTCTGGACTACACTGTCAACTCCCTGCCCCTTCTTTTACTTCTGTTACTTTTTGTGCTTTTGAGGCAAGAGCTCACCATGTTTGCCCAGGCTGGTCTCCAAATCTTAAGCACAAGTGATCCTCTTCTCAGCCTCCCAAACATCTTGGACTATAAGTGTTCCTCTTAAATCATTGTGACCTGCTCCCACACTCTCACTCTGCCAACAACTTCAACTTCTCCTTAATTATAAAATTAGAAACAACCTGAAGAGAATTTTCAGACTCTTACATGTATCCACTTAGCAGCATCTGCACATCATCTATATTCTCTCCTGATAGCATAGATCATTGCTGGCCATTACAGGGGCACTAACCACACATAGTAAGCACTGGAACTATAGTTAGTACAACAGGGAATGTAATTCTTAATGTTCAGTCATTTAAATTTCAAAACATCAAGCAACTTTGTTTTGGTACACTTTCCAGTTTATAATGCAAAACAGCATCCCAACTGAAATATACTTTAAGTGTAAGATACAAATCAGACTTTAAAAATCTACCAACAGAAGAATGTAAATGTCTCAGAGATCATTTTAATATTGACATGTTAAGAATCTAAAATAAAATACATCCAAATTAACTACACCTACTTTTTAATGTAAGTACTAAAAAAAAATGAAATCACCTTTGTGGCTTGCACTATACTATTGCACGAAACTGTAAAGATGACCTGCCCACAGTCCTAAGACCAAACTTCATTCACACACAAGACCCCACCACCTCTTGCCTGCACAAAGTTACAGCTCAAGCAATCCTTCCCTGTCGTGTCTTACGGATCTTTCCATCTAATATACAGATATGGATAACAACGAACTCATGCACCTCTTCGGCTACATGACACCCACCCCCCGGTTTTTTGTTCGCTTTTACAACAAAACTCTTCCAAAGGCTTCTCCACACACAGCCTTTGATTTCTTTTTTCGCTATTCTTTCCAGTTCCTGTTCCATCACGTGGTCACTGCTTATAACTGCTCAACTCTTCAGCCCTTCCTTGAATCGACGCATTAGTTCTTAACAGTGGCCGCTTGCTTCCCACATTGCCCGGGTTTTCCACTGCACGGTCGGAGCCCCTGAGGCCTCAATCCTTCCACCCCTTCGCTCCACCTACAGCCAGTTCCTCGCAAAACCAAAGTTCCACCCCAGAAGGCCGAATTCACAACTGTCGGAAACAAGCAGAGGGCGGCAGCGGGTGCGAGCAGCACCGGGACAGGTCCGCGGGAGCCACGACAGGCAGGAGGCTCACAGGGACCCACAGGCACGGGACTCAGGGGTGACGGCTGAGTCGGGGAGGAAGGCGCCTGTCTGACCTGCCGGAATGTCCGCAGCAGCGAGCCTAGCACGAACTCCGCCATTTTGACCTTCGCGCCCGCTAACCGCCACTGCGTCCTAGACTCCGCGGACGCCGGCGGCTGCGAATGAGGGGCGGGGCCTAAGGTGGGGCGGGCCGGGGCCTGGGGGGGCCGACATGGCGGGCCCTGGGCCTATAGGAAGAAGGGTTAGGTACGGGATTTGTACTCTCGCGGTTTTTTACAGAACTTGGGCGAACTACCCTGAGGCCTGCTGTGGGTTTCACCGCCTGTTAAAGGGCTCAGGCCACGCGGATCATCCCGCCCTTACCCTGCAGTTCTCCTTCTCTGCTCCCTCCTGGGCTCTCGGGCCCCTACTCCTCACATTGTCTCTGTGCAGACGCCTGTTGGCTCCTCTGTCATCCTTGTGGAACTTGTGCTTGTCGTATTTCCGCTGTAATGGTGATGGAGATAGATGGTGGAGACCATGCTAGAGTTTCCATTCATTTGCATGTAAATGTTTTTATGTATATCTGTATTGAGGTTTTTGTTATGGACCCCAGGACTACTGAGGAAAGACCACCAGACTCAATTCAGATTGGGATGAAAGACTTCATTCAAGCTGGCTTGGACCGCAGTCTCCTTATTGGCTAGAGTGCTGCAGTGGGGATGGAGAGGGAAAGGGGGACATTTTAAAGCTAAAAGCCGCAGAAATGAATGTTGACAAGGTGGTCCCTGAATAACAGGGTGGAGGGTCGTCACAGTCTACATGTCAAGGTGCCCTAGAATAACAAAACAAGCAAGTTACAGAAGACAAAATCAGCAGTTAGTCATATCATAATTTTGTTTTCTATATGTCTAGAGAGCAAGTGACTGTGGCAGCATTCTCCTGGGAGGAAAGGGGGAAAGGGGTCAGGGTTTCTGAAAAACAGTTCTTGAGCTAGAGATACATTATGGCTAAGCTTCTAAGATGGCTACTTTATCCAAAAGGGAGTCAGTTTGGTCAGTACATTCCCCACAGGTCCTGGTTCATATGGATCAAATCATTGATCCACATTTGTTATAGGTTGGTATTGAGCCTGTAATTCTAATACTTTGACAGAGCTGATTCTCTTCCTAATATATCCCAGTAACCAATTTAAAATGCAAGGGCCCACAGTAACACCTAAAAGTAATAGGAGCAGAGGACCCACAATTGCTGTTAAGAGAGTAGTTAGCCATGCCAACCAGGAGAAAAGGGACTCATAGCAATTTGAAGCCTTAACGTTCTTTGGCTCTTTGATCTAGGTTTTGTTTTATTAAAACTAGAGTTTCTCTAATCACTCCTGAATTATTTGTATAAAAACAGCACTTTTCATCTAAAGCTACACAAAGACTTCCTTCTTTTAAGAACAACAGGTCCAGCCCCCTATGGTTCTGCAAAACCATTCCTGCTAGGGAGTCTACTTGTTTTTCCAATTGTCCTATAGAACTTCAAGATAGTCTATGTCCTGGTCCACTCTGAGGCTTACAATCTTAAAGTTTTGATCTCCCAGAGCCAAAGCAGAAACTCTTAAAGCAGCAGATCCTGCAATGCCAGTTCCCACTAAAAGAGGTAGAACAATAGCTGGGGCTGCTCTCTTTATTTGAGTTGGTGCACGGTTATTTAAATATTGAACTCTTAATTGAGACCCATTTTTACATACATATATTTGAGGAAGAACATATACCAGTACACATAGGCTTCCCTTTTGAGATTCCAATTCCAGATGTTCTGCTGTCACACATTGAGCAAGACCAAAAGTACACACCCACCAGGTCCCTGTTGGGGCTTGGAAATGTACTCTATCAGGAGCTGACTTAACAGTACAAATTAGGGAACTACAGGACTGACTATATGCGGAGTTAGTGATGACATAAGTTGAAGAAGCCAAATAGGTTCCCTTTTTGTGCAGGTCCCCTAGGGTTATTCTAGTTTCTTGTAATCTACAATCTGTGCCTTCCTGTGGGGTGTTAGAAGGGGAAATCAAGATGTTGGGCCCTGTCCCCACATAAAAGGGAGGTTTAGGATCTAGGCACAGCCAACAATCTTGTCCCAAATCAGGAGTAGTATGATTCATCCAATTATGAATTAACCTTAAGGTCTTGATCTCAGATATTTCATCCAAGGCTGGGACTATTCCTTGCCATGGGGGTAAAGTTTGTAAGGGCAAAGAACTGGTGTCAGTAGTGCTGATAGGAGTTTTCTTGTGGAGCTATTAAAGGAAGAAGTGGGCTGTTGTGCTTTAGGGCGGGGTTACCAGCTCCTCTCTGACTCTGTAATTTGAGAACTGTAGGGAGGCACTTTCCTTTGAATAGTAAATTCCACACCAGGGTCATTTCCACATATTTTAGATGTGTGTTTAAGGCCCCAGGTTCTGCTAGTAAGCCAGTGTTGAGCACTTAACTCATTCCATTTCACAATCCTTAGAGTGAAAGGGTTGCACTTCCCAGGAATACAATCTCGGGAGGGAGCATCCCGCTGTAAATGAACAAATGAATCTTTATGTCCACCTCAGGTGGACTCAGTTTCACAACCAGGAGATGAAGAATGGTAATCTTTTGCCCATTTATGACAGTGTGCTGGCCCATTGGCTGAGCAAGCCTGAAATTGGAATGACCATAATCCCCACTCTTGAATCTCAGTCCCACAACCAGGGTGTGTTCTACGATAACTATACCATTCAGCCATATCCTCATTGTTATCAAAGAGGTCACATAAATCTAGTTTAAACACAGGCTGGGAAATGGCATTTTGGAAAATACCTATCACTTTTCCATTCGAAGTTCGGGTTAGCTCCCAATCCCTGGTCTCAACATTTGTAGCTGGCCACATGTGACACATACCAACTAGGTTTCCCAATATTAGTACTAGTCTGAGTCTAAGGTTCAAATAAGCCACGTCTTTAGGGGACACTGTGGGTCTGTTGATACTTTCCATTTTTCTCCCTTCTCTTGATTGGCTGTGTCCACCTTCAGGTGAGAATGGTGAATCCAGGTTGCAACTCCACTACTTTGACAGCTGTGGGTATGGTCATGCTCACAGCATATGGTCCTTTCCAGGAGGGCTCTAAGGTCCAGCTGGGCAGGTGAGGGACCCACACTAGACTCCTGGGTGAAACCTGTGAGTAGGCTCAGTGGCAGGGGCGGTGGAGGCATAAGACGGGTCTGGATGTCTCTGGAGACTCGTTGAAGAGCCTGTAGGGACTTGAGGAAGGAATAGTTAGACATTTCAAAAGCTTGTGGTTTTCCTTTTGCAGGAATTAGTGGGGATCAGCGACTAAACATTATTTCAAATGTAGTTAGCTTGTCCGGATAGGGGGAACACCTTAGCCTGAAAAGGACAATAGGGAGCAACTCAGTCTACCCCTCATCAGTTTCTGCTCGGAATTTAGTCAAGATTTCTTTAATAGTTCTATTAACTTTCTACCTGTCCTGAACTTTGGGAATGACAGGCACAATGTAGTTTCCAATGTATTCCCAGAATTTTGGCCACCTGTTGTGACACTGTGGCCCTAAAGGCCAGACCATTGTCAGACTCCAGAGAAGAGGGGAGGCCAAATCGAGGAATAATTTCCATTAGTAACTTTTTGGCAACCACCCTAGCCATTTCTGATCTTGTAGTAAAAGCTTCTACCCATCCTGAAAAAGCATCTATAAAGACCAACAGATAGTGATATCCAAACCTTGCTGGAATCACCAGTAAAGTTCAACTCCCAGTGTTCACCTGGATTAAGTCCTCTTTCTTAAATTTCCATTGGTGTTGATTTTCCTCCTTTGGGATTTGCCTGGGTGCAGGCAGCACAGCGGTGTGTGATTTTGTTCTACCTGTTCATCCAGGTGAGGTAGGAAATACCTGTCTCTGATCAA